ATTATGTAAAATTCAGGCTTGATATAATGTTATATCATTCAAATAGTAATGGCGCATAAAATATATATAGGATTAATTGAAGTTTTCGAATTTTGTTTGAGAAAACTGATGAAGGCAAGCGTATCGACAGTTGTATAACGAACTGTATTTATTTAAATTAGTTCAGTTTATTTGTTTCGATCTAGTTTTTTCGTAATGTTACGATATACGAACTTTTGACTTTGTAAATTGTATTATACTAAAAAATAAAGTTTTATGTTATTCTTCTACTTAATTATGCATTTTTAATGTTTCCGAACTAAATAGTATTTATTAAAATGAAATTCACACTTTACAAATTACTACGAATATTAGAGAAGACCGTTTTACTATAAATTAATACATCTTACTACGTTTTACTCTAATGTCGATTTCAAAAAAATTAGGTCAGACAAGGACCGTTAGACTGATGACGTATATTGTCGGCTTTTCCGGGTTGTATCGGAGCTCTCGCGATAGCGTGATTTACAGTAGTCACACCTATTTTCTGACGCGAGCCGATTAAGAATATTAATTTTTTTTAACCAATCGAATGATGGCGGGAGGTTTAAATTCGATTTATGTCGATAGATGGCCCTCTAAAATTTCATATTTATTTTAATTTTCTCTCTTTTTAATTTCTCGTGAACTGAAAGATATTCCAAAACAAACTTGGAGAATCCGACTCGTAAAAATTCTACGACTTCATGAAATGGTCCAGGTATTTCATATGAATTTTTTTGCAACTATAGACGTCGTTTACCACTGCCACACGATCGCCCTTGACGACTGTACTTGCCGGTCACTGCTGAGTGGATATGCATTACATGCCACATGGCTAGACAGAGGAATGTGAAAGGCCTTTGAAATTAATGGGGGCAAGTATGCAAAGACTATTAAATTAGATTTCAATGCGCATCGAGAAGGATACATATTATAATATGAATATTTAATATTTATTAATATAGTTAGCCAGTTAATTAAACCTAAAAATGATAAAATGATAAATAAAACTCTTGTCTTTACACGAAACCGAAACAAACTGAAAATAAAAATAAAATCAAAGTTGATTCATTTATTTAAATTAAAATTAAATCTGAAATCAAAACATTTAGAACATAATATTTCAGAAAGTGTGGATAAAATTGTTGTTGTCCATCTTGATAGATTTGAATATATTTTATCCAGTCAGAACGCAGACTCTCTTTATACCACTTTTCTGTAAAGAGTTACTTTTGGTTTCGGTTTCGGTTTCGGTGACAGAACAATTTGATTTTGAAATACAGTATATAAATATTATAAAATGCAGTCGAATATTAATTTGCATTTGCACGCATTTTTATAGCTAAAAAGGTACAAAAAAGCTTTGTTTTGGAGGTCGAATACGGATTAATACATTTTATATTGTTTCTTATAAGAAAATTTGTTTCGGTTTTAGAATAAATTGGCTTTCCAACAACTTTTAAGAACGAATTAAGTTCGAAGTTCGAGATTTAAGTGTTCTATATTATTTTCTGCATTCAGCATTACCAAAACAAAAATTTAAAGAAATCGAGATTTCATCGAACAAAATAACTTTATTTTCACGAACATTTATATCGTTAATATTCGCAGTCTGAAATAAACCAAATGCAGATTTTTTTAAAAGAGAAATATTTTTGAATAGGATATTACGAAACGATTGATTTGGTTTGCATTGTAGTCACGTGATATTAATCTGTTTCGGTGGCTTTTAATAGCAGAATAATAACTTTACCATATCAATATCTCCAATACATCTGACTTCCATTTTATTATTTGCATATGTTAATCTAAATTTTTAAATTATTACTTATGTAATATCCTTTTACAATACAATTCATTTGTAAAAATACGATAAATTATATTTAAATTATTTTAGTATTTCTGATTTAGTTTTATTCGAAATTTTACATTATTTGTTTTCAATAAACACTTATTGTATAATAAAACAAATCAAGATTACACTGTTTGTGATTAATTTTTATTCATTTTAATTTACTACTCCCAATTAATTTAAAATTTCCCACTTTACTTATTTGAAGGTCTACATTTTGTAATGAAATCTTATACTTTTTGTATTATTTTAATCGTAAACATAACATAATTTGCTGTACATACCTGTACATTTATATAGGCCTATATATATGGCTGATGAGTGTTTTGTTTACCAAAAAACATACGAATAATAAAGTTGCATTCTGCTGATAGAATCATGGGCGTAGTCAGAGTTTTGTTATGGGGGGGCCTAGTGGAGGCCAACCTGACACAAAATTGAATTATTTCAAATTATTGTTCATTATTGGGCACCGAGCAAGCCGTTCACCTTTTTTTAGTATTCAAAACTTTTATTTTAGCTTTAGGTTTTTACAAATCGACTCAACACTTTTTCGGCTGTGATTTCCTGGGGAGGGCACCAGGTTCCCTGGGAGGGGCCGTGCCCACCCAGGCTCCCCCCTCGCTACGCCCATGGATAGAATTGTCATTTTAATGTTATCAGTGACAGTATAAATAATTTCTGTTATCGCTACTATCGTATTTGAGATATTAGTTGATAAATTTTCGATACAAGAATCTTATTTATGGTTTTCTTACAGTACATAACCAATAATATTTATCTAAAAAACAATACAATCTTTAATAAAAATAAATTCGAAATAGTAATTCATATTTCTATAATATATCGAAGCTTTTATAAAATTGTACTTGACTAAGTTGCCTTGTATTAATTGAAGTATTATATGTAAAATAATTAGAATCAAAATATTTAAATCCTAGAAATAAAATCAAATTCTTTTAATCAATTTACATAACACATTTACTAGTGAAGGTCGCTGGTGTGCTTTCAGTCATGTGACTTCAAGACAAATACTGAAATCAATCGTTTGCATAATATTCTATTGATAAATATTTTCTCCTTTAAGAAAATCTGCATTTGGTTTATTTTTAACGAAATATTTTGCAATAGTACCACGAAATATAATCTTAATCTACACCTAAAATTCTTCGTATTTTCATTATGCACTTTTGATAGTTAAGAGTAAAACATGTATCCTGGTTACAAAAATTATAGTTTGTGCATGGTATGTTTTCTACGACCGATCCTCACGTCTTTACAGATATTTGGAATTAACATCATGTATTGTAATTGCAAGAAATCTGCCGAAAAGTCGAAATATCTGTCAAATTTATATCCTTTGTACCAAATTGCTATAGAGATATTTATGTGGACTAACATAATTCTTTCCGCTCAAGAGATAACAGACAATTTGGTTTGTGTCGGATGGATCAAAATGTTCTCTAATAATCAGATATTTCTAAAATTTTTTATAATTACAATTGCTATATTTCTAGCATTTCAATTTAGTTTGTTTAAAAGGAAAAGACTTTATATTCCAAGAAATAACAGTAGACATGAAGAAGAAGATAAAATAGCATATAATATTCAAATCATTTTTATAGATGGTCTTACGCTTTTATTTTTTACAATGATCACAGTTATTACCGTAATTGATTTGTTTTTGTGTCCTACATTAAAAGAAATAACAAATTCAAAGTTTGAGCTTGCATTTTGTAATCTGAACATTACATTACTGTGCATTTACGTAATTGGACAATTAGATTGTTGTATTCTTTTTTTCGTTGCATGGGGCGTCATGCTGTCGAAGAGATTCAATTATTTATCTAACGTTGTCAATGAACTGACAAAAGAAGAAAGTTATCTCAAAACTAAAATCGACACTTTGATTCAAGCTCATTGGGATTTATGGACTTATATACAAGAAATAAACCTAGTATGTGAAGCATTTATTCCAGCTGCATATTGTTTTGCAATATATCAGACAAGTTTTTTCTTCTGCGCATTCTTTTTTTTTTCGAACTTGATGTTTTCATGCGTTTGCAATCTTTCTCCTTTTATTAGCTTTTATCGTGGTTTGTACAGTTGCAACTTTTCAACTATCTCGGTTTACATCGTTGGTGAGTTAAATCTATCCTATCTTATTAAATAAATAGCTTTAAATTCGTTCTTGAAAAATACGAAATTTAATTTTTTATAAATAAGATTTGAACAGCACTTATAACATATTTATAAACACTCAATTAATCAGTTATTCCATGTTACAATTTTATTAAAATGATAAACGGATTGAAAAAAAAAGTTTTCTATTGTAATTGCTTAATTAATTAAATGATTGCTCCGTTCTGTTGAAGAAAGACGAATGTTCTCTACCTTTTACATATATATTGGCAGATTTGCTGTATAACAGAATGTAAGCTTAATATTCCATTGCAAGTAAAACTTGAGATATGTAGATCTTGTCGAAGTATCAATCAAAATATTGTCTAAAGAAATTTCGTTTGTGACAATGAATACAAATTTGTTCAGTACTTTTATGGTTAACTTTACTATTCTTTGTCAATCAATTTTAAAAGATTTAACATCACATTTTAAAAAACACATTTTAGAAATACGAGTATTTCTAAGATTTGTCTTCAGCTCCTCTAAGATTATTCATTCTACTCCGTCGTAAAAATCTTTAAATTTTAATGAATATCTCAAGAATAAACATAACATTAAGATATCTTTATANCCCTAAACTAAATACACGCTATTTATTTATTTAAGGTGTATTCAATTTAGGGATTTGGATACGTAACGTAAATATATCCTGTATATTAACGTCACGTATATGCTGGCCGCTGTAGATTCTCTTCTTTGATAACGCGGAACGTCATTCCCTACTGAATGCAAAGCTCATTGAATAACGGGGCAGATGTATTGTACATATTGTGATATGAAAGTCTTCAGATAATAATTTAAATAATATTTAAATAATTTATATTATATTCTTCTTTTTTTTTCTAAAGCATTAAACTTATGAATTTCAATAATGTATATAAGAATTTATTTACGAATTTTGCAATTGTTGTTTATGAAATTAGTTTTAATTTTTCAAGATGTATGAAAAGTTCATTGAAATAGATAAATTGTGTTCTACTGATCTGCCGTTAGAAACCAAACTGAGGGTAATTCAAATTAATTTAACGTTTTCAATTGATCTATTAATTTAATGTATTAAAAATGATTATATTTATTTAAAAAGATGCTGAATTTTATGAAAAGATATGGTAAAACTCCATTTGGAATAAACATCGGCGGATTTTTTTATGTTAAAAAGAACTTCTTCATTCGAGTAAGTTCATTTAATACATTCTCTTATACTTTAATTAAGTTGTATAAATATGATTTATAATTGCATGTACACAAATCAATTCGTATTTTTAAAATTCGTGTTTAATACAAAAATCTTTTTAGGTATATATAATGATTTTTGAATAATCTGTTACAGTTTTTCAGTGCCATATATTCAGCGTTGTCTCTCTTTGTACAACTTTTAATAGCCAAAAAGCAACCTCCTTGTAAAATTAGGGTTGAAGATCTAATACAATAAGCTGTCTTGCCTTATTGAATATAAACAGATGTCATCAGATGATCGGTACCGGATCGGCGATGGCGATCCGTACGTTAATTAAAATGCACTTTACAGATTGTATAAAGGTTTTCTTCAATGTCATTTTGTATATACAAAAAGAATTTAAAAAAATTATTTATTGGTTCACTTGTGCCTAATGGATAAGGCATAAGTTTCCTAAACAGGGGATTGCAGGTTAGAATCATGTCAAGAGTACTGCTTTTTTACATTTGGACATTGTTCTTCGTCGTCATTTCGAAACTGAAATGCCAACAGCTTCTCACTTATTATCACATCGTCTCTCTTCGCGGTTTGTAAAGAGCGCATCAAGCGCAGCGCCGATGGCTTGTGTGCACCATATATAAACTGATAAACCGCGGACACCTTTTCTTTAATCCTGTTCTATACATATAAATATAATAGCAAATAAACGTAATTAAAGTAAATTATAGTTTTCTAACTTTTGTCTCTGTGGGCAATAAAAGTACGTTCACTAACTAGATAGTCCAGTTGGAGGTACAGAGTAAGTCAGTAACTACCATTGAGTACTAAAACGGGAGAATCTTCTGGTCACAACGTCTAGTCTCTTAAAAAATTGTTCGGAGTTGCAGTACAGCCTATTAAATGTTGAAAAAGTGTTATAGACACGATACCGTGCATATGAAAGATCAGTCAGTATCAGAAGCAACGTTGAAACATACGGAATATTATAGGCCTGAAAGAACTGACAAGTTACCATCTCGGACATTAAAACGCTGTTTTCCTATTACACTTCATTGCAGATGCATTTTCAAGTGAAAAGACGAAACAAAATATTGAGAGGGAACCTCCTAAACTTTAGAGTGAAAGATACAAATGCTCATCGTATGACAATTTTTTTACCACGTTGCTTCGTTTTACTTGCTAACGGACAATTAAAAATTATTTTACAAATATATTTTAAAACAATATAAACATATTTTTCATATTAATTAATTAATGCAGTTACGAATTTGAAATGTATGGGTTAAAATGAGTTGATATACTATTGTAGTATCAAAACCATTAGTTTTAGTTATTAAAATTATTACATTCTGATACAAAATAATGAACAAATGCAGTATTTTAACAAATATATTTCGAAAAGAAATAATTAATACAATTTTTATTTTTATGCAATATTTATGAACCCATTTTATCAGCGCAGGAATCTGCTGGGCCTTACTGTGCTTAGCAAGCATAAGAATTCAAACAGTAAGTTTATATATATATTTTCGTTAGATTATTACTATTAGATACATAAAAACAGAATGAAGTAATAAACAGATTTAATAGTAGATATGGTTAAAAAAATGTTAAAGTTTCCAATTATTCTAATATGAACCTTCACACATGAATAGATGAAAGTGATTCCATTTNGGGGGGCCTAGTGGAGGCCAACCTGACACAAAATTGAATTATTTCAAATTATTGTTCATTATTGGGCACCGAGCAAGCCGTTCACCTTTTTTTAGTATTCAAAACTTTTATTTTAGCTTTAGGTTTTTACAAATCGACTCAACACTTTTTCGGCTGTGATTTCCTGGGGAGGGCACCAGGTTCCCTGGGAGGGGCCGTGCCCACCCAGGCTCCCCCCTCGCTACGCCCATGGATAGAATTGTCATTTTAATGTTATCAGTGACAGTATAAATAATTTCTGTTATCGCTACTATCGTATTTGAGATATTAGTTGATAAATTTTCGATACAAGAATCTTATTTATGGTTTTCTTACAGTACATAACCAATAATATTTATCTAAAAAACAATACAATCTTTAATAAAAATAAATTCGAAATAGTAATTCATATTTCTATAATATATCGAAGCTTTTATAAAATTGTACTTGACTAAGTTGCCTTGTATTAATTGAAGTATTATATGTAAAATAATTAGAATCAAAATATTTAAATCCTAGAAATAAAATCAAATTCTTTTAATCAATTTACATAACACATTTACTAGTGAAGGTCGCTGGTGTGCTTTCAGTCATGTGACTTCAAGACAAATACTGAAATCAATCGTTTGCATAATATTCTATTGATAAATATTTTCTCCTTTAAGAAAATCTGCATTTGGTTTATTTTTAACGAAATATTTTGCAATAGTACCACGAAATATAATCTTAATCTACACCTAAAATTCTTCGTATTTTCATTATGCACTTTTGATAGTTAAGAGTAAAACATGTATCCTGGTTACAAAAATTATAGTTTGTGCATGGTATGTTTTCTACGACCGATCCTCACGTCTTTACAGATATTTGGAATTAACATCGTGTATTGTAATTGCAAGAAATCTGCCGAAAAGTCGAAATATCTGTCAAATTTATATCCTTTGTACCAAACTGCTATAGAGATATTTATCTGGACTAACATAATTCTTTCTGCACAAGAGATAACAGACAATTTGGTTTGTGTCGGATGGATCAAAATGTTCTCTAATAATCAAATATTAGTAAAATTTATTATAGCTACATTTGGTATATTTCTAGCATTTCAATTTAGTTTGTTTAAAAGGAAAAGACTTTATATTCCAAGAAATAACAGTGGATATGAAGAAGAAGAAAAAATAGCATATAATATTCAAATCATTTTTATAGCTTGTCTTACACTTTTATTTTTTACAATGATTACAGTTATTACCGTAATTGATTTATTTTTGTATCCTACATTAAAACAAATAATAAATTCAAAGTTTGAGCTCGCATTTTGTAATCTGAACATTACATTACTGTGCATTTACGGAATTGGACAATTAGATTGTTGTATTCTTTTTTTCGGGGCATGGGGCGTCATGCTGTCGAAGAGATTCAATTATTTATCTAACGTAGTGGATGAAATGACAAAAGAAGAAAGTTATCTCAAAACTAAAATCGACACTTTGATTCAAGCTCATTGGGATTTATGGACTTATATACAAGAAATAAATCTAGTATGTGAAGCATTTATTCCAGCTGCATATTGTTTTGGAATATATCAGACAAGTTTTTTCTTCTGCGCATTCTTCTTTTTCGAATTTGATATTTTTATGCGTTTTGCAATCTTTCTCCTTTTATTAGCTTTTATCGTGGTTTGTACGGTTGCAACTTTTCAACTATCTCGGTTTACATCGTTGGTGAGTTAAATTTATTTTATCTTATTAAATAAATAGCTTTAAATTCGTTCTTGAAAAATACGAAATTTAATTTTTTATAAATAAGATTTGAACAGCACTTATAACATATTTATAAACACTCAATTAATCAGTTATTCCATGTTTCAATGTTATTAAAATGATAAAGGGATTGAAAAAAAAAGTTTTCTATTGTAATTGTTTAATTAGTTTAATTATTGCCCCGTTCTGTTGAAGAAAGACGAATGTTCTTTACCTTTTACATATATATTGGTAGATTTGCTATATAACAGAATGTAATCTTAATATTCCATTGCAAGTAAAACTTGAGATATGTAGATCTTGTCGAAGTATCAATCAAAATATTGTCTGAAGGGATTTGATTTGTGACAATGAATACAAATTTCTTCAATACTTTTATGGTTAACTTTACTATTCTTTGTCAATTAATTTTAAAAGATTTAACATCACATTTTAAAGAACACATTTTAGAAATACGAGTATTTCTAAGATTTGTCTTCAACTCCTCTAACATTATTCATTCAACTCCGTTGTAAAAAGTCTTTGGATTTTAGTGAATATCTCAAGAATAAACATAACATTGAGATATCTTTATAATAAATAATCTCAAAATTTCTATATTGTGAACATAGAGAACGTATTAATTTTCTTGATCAGATGCTGCGATTATTTTAAAATATTATTTTATTTATAAAAACTCTTAAAATTATAATATTTTAAAATCTTTAAACAAAACGAGATAGGCATATAAATTAGTCAGTTCAAGAATCAGAAATTCCTACAAAAATTGAGGAAAAAATGTTTGCGTTTGCATAAGAAATTAATATCTATTGCCTTTAAATAAATAAATATATTTATTTATTTAAGGGTGTATTTAGTTTAAAGATTTGGATACGTGACGTAAATATATCCTGTATATTAACGTCACGTATATGCTGGCCACTGTAGATTCTCTTCTTTGGTAACGCGGAACGTGATTCCCTACTGAATGCAAAGCTCATTGAATAACAGGGTAGATATATTGTACATATTGTGATATGAAAAGCCTGAAGTAATCTTTTAAATGATATTTAAATAGTTTATATCAGATTGATTCTTTCTTCTAAAGCATTAAACTTGTTAAGCATCTCTGTTTTCACTTGGAACATTCGTTTATGTAGCTTTAAGAAAACAAATTTCTTTATATTACTGTCAGTAAAGTCTGATAATTTTACTAATTCAAATATGGTATTATTTGCTTTCATAAAAAGATTTTGTCAAAATATGTGCGAAGCAACTGTGGAGCAAACGTTATCAAAGTAAACGTATGGAACAAAATTCATTTGGTTTCCATTTAGAATCACATTTGTTTTTTTTTTTTTTGTACGAATTTCAATATTATATATAAGAATTTATATGCACATTTTGCAATTGTTGTTTATGAAATTAATTAATTAATTAATTTTAATTTATTAAGATGTATGAAAAGTTCATTGAAGTTGATAAATTGTGTTCTGCTGCTCTACCGTTAGAAACCAAACTGAAGGTAATTTAAATTAATTTAACGTTTTCAATTGGTCTATTAATTTAATGTGTTAAAATGATTTTATTTATTTAAAAAGATGCTGAATTTTATGAAAAGATTTGGTAAAACTCCATTTGGTATAAACGCCGGCGATTTCTTTTATTTTAAAAAGAACTTCTTCATTCGAGTAAGTTCATTTCGTACATCCTGATATACTTTATTTAAGTTGTAGAAATATAATTTATAATTGCATGTACACAAATCAATTCGTATTCCTAATAATAGTATTTAATACAAAAATATCTTTCGGTATATATAATGATTTTTTAATATTCTGTTACAGTTTCTGAGTGCCATATATTCAGCGCTGTCTGTTTTTGTAGAACTTTTAGTAGCCAAGAAGCCACCTCCTTGTAAAATTAAGATTGAAGATCTAATACAATAAGATGTCTTACCTCATTCAATATTCTAGTGTGCATTTTATGGCCATAAAATGCACACTAGAACTTAATGATAAAGAAATTATACCCGTTTATTTACATAAACTATTTACACGTATAGATAAGATAACAGAGAGTTGGGTTATAGCTTTTCTGTAGCGTCAAAAAGGAATAAATATTATGTAGCGTAACATACTAGATAAGGCGGATATAGCGTAACATTATTGATTAGGCTTTATACTAAATTAACGGGTTCCTAACCAAGAGGAATAATATATTTATATTATTGCAAATTGCAATAATATTAATGATGTAATTATTTAAATTTTTGGAATAACTCTTTTTATATTTTGCAATACAGTAAAGCGTCGTTTATCCGAAAGTCGGTTATCCGAAAGAATTCCAGTCGGCAAATTTAAATTTTCACTAGTGCTGTGGCGTTGCAATCTTTGGCTATGTCTTGGGTTACTGAAATATTTTACGTTTTTGATACTAAATTAACTTCTGAAGTATAATTTTTTATTGTTTTTATATTTTTAAATATATTTATTTTGTTTCTACAACATAAAAAAAAATAATTTTTAACGATACAATAGTCTTCGTTAGGATTAACATCGACTAAAATTCAACGCGAAGCGACACGCAACGTAGAAAAATTTCAACATGGGATATTTTTGCGCACATAATCGGTTATCCGAAAAATAAGTTATCCGAACAACCCCAGTCCCCAAATGATTTGGATAAACGACGCTCTACTGTAAGTGTTTTTAAGATACGCAACAGATGGTAATGTAAAAAGATAAGTTAAAAAATATGGGGCACTAAATTTTTTTTAATCTCAAAGTAGGCGGTGGTCGAAATAAATTTGAGAACCTATGCTCTATTACAATATGGCAGAATCACGTGAGAACGGGTCTCGATGACGAACCGGGAGAAAGTATCCGCAATTCGCTGATGTCTTTCTTCTAAGGTCTAGATGCCAATTTATTGTATTTTTGCTTCGTTTCAGCGGATCTGTTATCCGTAATGTACGGGGATTCTACTGTATATAGTAGAATCAAGTTGTCCATTACTGTTTATCGATACACAAGAGTCAATTACGAAGTGAACAGAATTTCATTTTAACGAATTCAATGTACATTTTTATTAAAGTAGTAAAAGCGATATCTTTGTCTATGAGAAAATCTAGAACATAAATGTGAAGCGTTTCGTTTTTCTTTTATTATTTGAGGCTTTGCTTTACACAACAAACCAAAGATTGGTGGTTCGTTGAGGAAATGAAATATATAAAACAATGACTATGATGAAACATATTAAAACATGATTGCGACGAAGTAAATCCTACATTTCTTTATATTAAAATACGTAATCGTTTCTCGTTGCGTAATTTACCAGCCGAATGGCGGCGAAGGAAATTACGGAAGCGGAAGTCGTTAAAGGAAAAAAAAAAAAAAAAGTGATTCTCCGAACGAGAGGCGCCTCTAGCGGCGGCCGTACGACTTCGCAAACCGCTAGAGGCGCTCGGATCGAACGGTTCCGGCTGTTCTTATCGACGTCGTCTCGTGACGGGAAAGGTAGTTCTTTTTTACCCCCGTTTTATTTTTAAAATTATATTTTTTCCAAATTAAACCGTTTTCTCGTTCCGTTCCGTACTTACTAACGCGAGATTGAACGTAGATTCGAAATCGGAAATGGCGTTTTACGAAGTTTGGTTGCAGAAGTTGGAGAAAAAGTTGCAAGAGAAACATCCCTACACCGAGATATTAGAAAAAGTGGAGAAGTTGACGGGTGTCAAACGTCATTACATCGTCCTGGGTAAGTTACACCCTCATTCACCCCCCCTCTGCCGGTAAATTTTATAATTAGAAAGTTTGAGGAAAGAACTTTTGACCTTGGATATTTTCCTCCACCTTTTTTTTTTTTTCTTTTCTCTTTCCACAGAAAAGCAAATAATTTAACTTTTCTGTCTGTTTTTCCTTTAAATATCTAATCATAGAAATGGGAAAATCTCGAAGAAACACTATACGATCGATATATTAAATTATTTTTCCTGATTTTTTTCTTTCTTTTTTATTACATCGCGTGCTATGTTTAAGCTAAAATTCGAATTTTTGCCAATTCGGTATTTTTAGACACGTTTTAATTACCTTCGTCCGCGTAAATCGAATGCGCTTTTGAATTTTCGCTTCCGTAATTATTTTTTATTTATATTTTTAAAAAAATATATGTTTTTTAACGCTAGGTGGCGCATTCGATTTACCTGTAGCCAGCGCCGTTTTCCTTTAAAGAACTTTCAAAATTTAACCGGATAAAGTTTACACTCGGGAATTTAGCTACGAAATAACATATAATTTGGCACTTTTATAATAATGTGATCCGGTTATGACGTACGGATCGGAATGAAATGATTAAAGAATATATACATATGTATTTTAGTAACTAGAGATGGTATTATTGTGTTTTGGTGCACGCTACCATCATTTCGACGCCATGTTGGAAGAAACTAGTTCCGATACATTATCGTAAATCTCTCTTTATTCCGGTTACGTAATTGTAATCTTGTCTTCGTTTTCTTTTACTGTGATTTTCAGAAACTCTGTTAAGCATAAAGTGGAATTTCTTTAACGATATTAAACAGAAATAGCATCGGCGCACGCTGTAGTTTCGTGTTTCAAATATGGCGTCGAAATGATGGTAGCGCGCGCGCGCGCGCTCGAAACACGTTGTCGCCACCGTCTATTGTCGCGCCGTGTTACTTCGACACGAGACGGGTGTAAAGTTGCGACATCTGTCTTGTGAAATTTGCAGTTATTTTTAATTAACTAAACAATTGAGAATGGAAAATCAGCTTTATCTAAAATCGATTCTAATAAGTAAAAATGGTGTTAATACATCAGTAAATACAATAGACCATTATACAGTCGTACAAGGTCTGTATAATGGGTTATTTTCAGTGTTAAATTTTATCCCCACTGTAATTATTAGGTTACAACTTGGATAAAATTTAATACATGTAAATTTATAAAGAAAAACTGTATCGAATATTTTCAGGAATGTAGGGCAGTAAGAGAATACAGTCGACCCTCTATAACACTGTTGATTATTCCGTTTTATACGAATTCCATGTTGTACGAGTCACTTAGATTTTACAAATACATGAGCCGTTCACAGCCTGGCACAAATATTTGTAAAATCTAAGTGACTCGTACAACATGGAATTTATATAAAACGGAATAATCGACAGTGTTATAGGGGGGGTCGACTGTAGTGTGTGTGTGTGTGTGTGTTAGGGGACAAGGGGCAATAATTCATATTGAAACAAAAATACATAGGAAATACGTGCACAAAATAGAGGGTTTGCAGACAAAAAAAGGCTGGAAAACATGGCTTTAAAAAAAACCATTTAAATATCTGGCAAGTGAGATTGATATATATATGTCGGATAATGCCTTTTGTTATTTGTAATATCAATATGATAATTTGTGATTAGAACTTATTTTTAGTTAACCATTGATCCCACATTACAATTGTGCTTTATCCTTGAGATTTACTGTTTTGTAGATAAATATAATTTTATTCTCCCTCGTATAAATGAATAAAAATTTAAACTTTTCTCTCCTTACTAATATTTTAATTTTTTTTAGGCGACATGTGAAATTTCCTAGTGAATTGCCACATTTTGCTCTCTAAATTAGAGACCCTCCATTATTTGTGTGTACAAATCTTTGGGCTACTTTTGACTCCCTCTTCCCTGTTGTATGCAGTGATGTACAGTACAATACTTGGCAAATTCCCTCTGCTTTAATTCTGTGTTCGATAGCTTGTGTGATCCCGTGATGTCAAAGAAATTACTTTAAAAAGTTGCAAAAGTTCGTCTAACTGAAGGTTTACTTACGTGACTAGTAAATGGGCCTATCGAAACAAATTTTTATGCTGCTAATAGTCGTAAAGAAGTCCTCCGTATAGATGATGCCTCGACCTCCACGTATGGCGGTATATTTTTCGAGACTCTCCTCTTTTCCTCAAACTGTATACCTAATTAATGGATAGATTCTAAGAGGTTTGTTTCTGAATACTAAATAAGAAAAATTAATACTGAAAAAATAGTATTCTGGTAATTTTTGTCCATTGTTCCGAGGAATCGTCGAATGTGTTAGTGTAAGTAAAGAGTATCGAAGTTTGTGAAGTGGAGAAATAACAAAATAAGAATTATACACACTATTTTTGTAAATATTAGTTTCAAATGAGATATTTGTGAAAATAGCTAAATAAATAGGGAAAATAATATACTCTCCTTTGAAACTTTTGTCTAAAATTATCTATTATGTAGTAGATTACTGCTGCTTAACAAAACAGTGGCCAGAAAATAGGCCCAGTGGGCCCTTTAGAAATTAGAAAAATTTAAAAACTTCTAGTAAGCAATATTTTTTCTGATGAATACAATTTCTATTCATTAAGTAAATCGTGAATGAAAGGAAAAGACAAAGAAATATTGTATTCTAATGTCTATTTAGACATTAGAATAGAAGGAAGAAGAATCTTTTATATCCTCTTTCAAAGATTGCTTTAGCAGTTCCTGCAACACAAATGAGTACAGAAAGATTATTTTCTAGTCTGAAGTATAGACTATTCTATTAACTTTGTGTACAAATATCAAATTCAAAGTACTAGATAATATGATGATAATAAGATGTTTTGAAAAATTGACAAAATGATAACTTTTTAATCAGTGTAATTCAAAATTTAACAAACAAAAAGTACCAGTATACACGTACGAGATCTTATTTAAGTTGATTCTTATGTAATTTGTATTTATAACAGCAATTTTAAGCTTTTAAACCACTTAACACTGGGCTTACGGTTTCATGCTTGAACAGCAGGCTAGCTGCCTAAACTTTTTCAAGTTTTCTTCTTGTGTTTAACATCGAAACAGGAACCAGGTCTCTTAAAAAGCGTCTCCAGAAGCACCTCCCTTGTAAATTGCCCAGATATATTGTTTTATTCTATCAATCTAATTAAAAAAAATAAAAGTGAACTCGCATAGAAATCGAGGAGAATGGTAAAGCAATTTACGTTCGCATCTAACCTGGTCACAAAGATTACCTCCCAATAATTCCGTCTGTTTCCGTTGCAATAATATTCTAATTAATAACTTATTAGTGAACTTAGAACTATTAAAATGCTTGATCATTCAACAAAATGGTTACGAAAATAAGTCGTCATAAATCACTAAAACAGAAGTTACATTTGATGATTAAATCTAATACAGTTATTTAAAAAATCAGCTGTATTAAATAACAATAATGATCATTTTCTGTAATAGAAATTTTACATTTTTACTTTTTGGGATTACTGTGTTGTTAAAATATAATTTTCCTTTGCTTTAAATTCAATATAACACTATTATTATAACAGACATACAGTACATACGTTGAAAGCTAGTTCTTAAAATTATACAGAAAAATAAATAAAATGACTAAAATAACATTTTCTATCAAAAACAATTTACATGTAGAATTGTGTTTAAAGGCAATTTGGATGTATTGAAATTTAGTTGAAACACAACTAAAAATATTTTGAAAAAATATATTATACCTTATTCATATTGAAAAGAGAGAAATGTGTCAATGGCATTATGCTTCTTTCAGTCATCTATCTCATTTCAAATGATACTAGAAGGTGAGGAAAAGATTATTGTTACTTTTTCTTTAATGCTTTCATTGCCACATACATATCCTTGACAATCCATTGTTTATTCAGTTCCAAGACCAAGGTTGCCTCTTAGACATCTAGTGTCTGTCTTTATACCATATTCCTGTGATATTTTATTGAATGTAGTATAAAGCCCGACATATAATGTACTTTTTTACTCTTTTGGCATTTTTAATTTTTTTATGCTATTTTATATAAAAAAAATAATAATGAATATTAAAATGTATGTAAGAGGCATTGATGTGTGTACTAGGAGTTTTGCATGTCAGGAGAATGAGCAAACATGCAGCAAAAGCAATTAGTCTGTATTTTAAAAAATTTTGATTAACTATTTGATTTCTTTAACTTTACAATTTTAATAAAAGCATAGTACTTGGTTAAAGCATATAAATAAAACTTTAATCAATAAAATTCACCTTCATACTTGGATAATTCATAGTAAAATAAAAAAATACAACTTAATTGTGAATTTTAAGGATAAAATTTTTCCTAATACAGTAGAGCCTCGAAAACTCGGCCTAATGTGGACCGAAGGGTGGCCGAGTTTGTGAAAATGCCGGGTTATCGGGAATGGAGTTAAAAAAACTAAGTATGGGTGTTTCCTTAGAAAATACTGTACTGTATTTGTATATATTGTTTACTTGAGAACACAACAGAGAATAAACTGTCCAAATACCCTTAAACAAAGGAAAGGTACGACCTTTAAAGCACAGAGCCTTTACTACATGAAAATGAAAATTAATGAATACACTGTATACAGTAATTTACCTGATGAGACAGACCCCAGAAAAATACTTTGAGGCATAAAGCTGTCTATAATAAAAATTAATTAAGGATTTTTTTGCCCTGCCATGGTGTGGCCGAGTTATCCGGAGTGCAGAGTTTTCGAGGCTCTACTGTACTCCATGTTTTAATTAAATTTACAAGAATGTTATAAATTAATTCTCAACTAAGTTCCTTTTTGTTTTCTGCAGTAAAGTTGCAAAAAAAAAAACAAAAATTGTATTTTTCAAATATTCTTATGTTTTAATCTTTTGTTTATATATTTCTATAGATATACAATTAGTAGCATTTATTATGTAATTTATAGAATTAATTCGTTT